ACTCCTCATTTATGCCCATTTCAGGACATGACCCAGCTCCTTGGGATAGATTTCGCTCCTCTAAACATCCCATGGGAGCGGCGACTTCAAACTTTGGGTGCAATACATTTCGTGATGTTATCGTTAATACTACCTGTGCTGACTATGCTTCTACCTATTTACTTGGTAAGTTTCTCTTCCTCACACTTGTACGGTCCCGAAGAGAATTGTCAGAACGAGAATAGCACAATTATTTTCATCAGAATGATAAAGAATTTGTAAATGATGTGCTTCTGATCGGCAGATTTGCAATCTCAATTACCCAAACTCTCGTAGGATTCACCTTAGATCTAGGAAAAAAATGAATAGTAGGCAGAATGTAGCTCCTATTTAAATCAAGAAAATTTTTCCTACAAAACGAATTTACGACCGTTACGGCTTACAGAAGATCTTTTTAGTTCTTCTCTCGTCTATGGCCCTTAGTAGTCGCCTACTCCGTCTGGTTATACTACGACTGGGATTCACCAAAACGAGGAGCATATCGTTCGACATGGTTTATGCGGCAACGCATTCACGATTGGTACGCTAACTACTTCCCGGTCAAATTACATAAAACTGCTGAACTCAGCCCTGACGAGGTAAACTCCCTGAAAATTTCGCAAATCGCCTAAAACAATCTTCTGCAGAACTACCTAATCGGAAGCCATCCGCACGGGATAATTTCGATGTCCGCATTTGTGAACTTTGCTACAAATGGAACAGGAATACTGGAAATGTTTCCAAAGATCGATTTCCATCTATGCACTCTTGTTGGCCAGTTCTACACACCTGTTCGGAGAGAATGGGGTCTTCTACATGGAATGATTGACTGTAGCAGGGAAAGTCTGACTCACATACTTACAGGGAAAAAGGTGAATCACTTAATTCAGAGATAACTCGGATTCCTCAAAAACCCTTGAATTTTAGGGAAAAGCTTGTGTCTTGGTTATTGGTGGGGCCGAAGAAGCACTCGATGCACATCCTGGACATCACATACTAACTATTCATAAACGCAAAGGGTTCATTCGGCTGGCATTGATGACCGGTGCTCAATTAATCCCTTGTTATTCGTTCGGGGAAAATGAAATTTATGACCAGGTAATTTTTGTTAATCGGTATAATCAGCTCTCCGATTTTTGATTGAAATCGGCAACCTCTCATTTTGGAAGTCTTTGCAGCAGGGAAAATGAATAAATACCCATAAATGTGCAACGCAAATTACAACGAACAATTGATTTT